TCCCATATTCCTATGGTTTTCCTATGGTTTTCCTATGGCTTTGGCGGTTTATGGAAACTCACCCCCGAAAAACGCGATTCGCCGTTGCGCATCCAGGAGCAGCGGACCCAGCGGACAGAGGAGAAGGCGGAAAAGTCCTCGTCATAGCTTGGAAAACACAAAAGGAAAGTCACAGAGTCACATTTGGATAATCCATAGGAAAACCATAGGAATATGGGATTTAATGGTGGTTTAATGGGATTTTATGGGATTTAATGGTGGTTTCATGGGATCTAATGGGATTTACCCTCTGGTGAACTAACATAGCACTCTCCTGTCAACATCACCGGGACGCCCCAAACGGCCCCTATCAACAATTGGCTGGACACCGATATCAAAAGAACTCGTACCCTCTGGTTATGTCAAAATAGCTATTGAAAATGGCCATTTATAGTGGATTTTCCCATTAAACATGGTGATTTTCCATAGCTATGTTAAATTACCAGAGGGTAATATAAATAGATTTATTTATATATTATACAATACAATATATAATATAATAGGATAAAATATAATATAATGTAATATAATACAATGTAATATAATATAACGTAATGTAATATAATATGATATAATGTAATATAATATTATTTGATGTATAAAATATGATATGTAATATTTGATATATAGTATATAATTATATATATTATATTCAATATAATTTTATTTAATATGATGCAATGAAACAAAGAAAATATATAATATAATTTAATCTGTTTTACTATAGTATAAAATAATATTATATAATATAACTTAATATAATATATTAGAATATAACATATAATAGAATACCAGGATGTACAAACGGGTCTCAATTAGGCACCCCTTAAGGGGGGTAACCATCAGGCACCCCTTAATTTTTAAGGTTCCAAACTAACAGATAATGAGGTATTCATAGTAATATGTGCATTTTTATTCGATTTCCCTACGTTTGCTTCCAGAAATGCGTGTCATTTCGTGAAATTGCCGTGTCGTGTCAGTCATAAGTGGTCACGAGTTTTTTTTCGAGAAATCAAGAAAAACATGCGTGTCATTGCGTGTCACTGCTGTGTCGTGTCGGTCGGTAGGGGGTGTCCAATAAGCACCCCTTAGGCAAACGGGTGTCTAATAAGCACCCCTTAGAAACGTGTCGGGTGCTTTTTGAACAACCCCTGCGCGTGTCATTTCGTGTCGATTTTGACTAGTTTTCTTGAATTTTGGGAACATTTTACATCCGACGCGAAAAGAAACGCATGCATTTCTTCTCGCCAACAATGAAGTCGGGTGCACCACAGATGCCACGCGGGTGGGATTGGAAGATTTTGGGTTGGAACTCATCATTTTCTGGTGTGCCATCTCCATGAACGCTAAGGGGTGTCCATTAGGCACCCCTTAAGAATCTCAATTCTTGAAATTCATTAGGCACCCCTTTGAACGTGCTGGTATATATATATATAATATAAAATACGTTATATATGTATATATTAACATGTAATATATCCAATTTAATTTAATATATATGATATGACGTATTTTTTTAAAATAATATAATATATATTTACAATATATATAATATTGTTAATAATATTTACAATATGTATAACATATTTAAAAAGCAATTAAAACTACAATATAATGAAAATTATGATACAATATAATATCACATAATTTGATATGATATGATATAAGAAATTTAACATAATTTTATATAATATATTATAATATAATATATAACATAGTATAATTTAAGATAATATGATATCCTTGAGAACCAAAAACCGCAGAAATCTTAGGGTTTGAAAAATACCTGAGCTTTTCTGACAAAACCCGGGGTATTTTAACCCATTCTGAAAGTACGGGTTAGGTACGGGTTAGTACGGGTTAAGTACGGGTTAGGTACGGGTTAAGTACGGGTTCAAAATCAATACCCGAGGTCTTCAATCGAAAACCGAGGTTTTCTTATTTTTTCCGAATACCTCAGGTTCTTGCGTTGACCCGAAGAATTCTTAGGGTTTTGGTTCTCCAGGATAATATAAAAATATAACATATACTGTAATGTTTTTTTATTGTTATTTAATCTATATATAATATAAAATATATAAAATGTATATTTTTTATTATATATAATATAACATGTATATTATATACCCTTTGCTTCTGAACCCTTAAAAAAAGGGTTCGGCTGGAAACCCCTGGGTTTTCCTCCATCCGGCCACCAGGTAGGCATTGTCTCGGAATGCCCCAATCCCATAGATTTTTGATTGAGTAGATGCCTCATAGCGTCCGACAGAAACAGAAAATCATGATAGTTTTCCATCAGCTTCTCTTCGCCCTATCGGAATTCTTCTACCCCAATCGGAAAAAGTTCGGGTTAGAGATTTGGTGTCAACTAACCCGTGCCAAACCCATGCCAAACCCTGGATTTCATAAAACACCCTGGGTTTCCCCAACCCTTTCTAAACCCGTGATTTACCCGTGCCAACCCGTGAAAAAATCATGGGTTTGGGAGCAGTCCGACAGACCAAAAATTGTCCCAATTCCGAGAAGCCCAAGTTGAACCAGGTGTTGCATCAGCAGGGGTGGCGGCACAACTGGAAAAACATGGGAAAATCAAAACCCTGGGCTTCTGCTGAAAACCTTGGGTATTCAACCGGGTATTCAGTCAGATACTATATGATATGATATGATATGATATTGTATTGTATTATATTAAATTAATTTATATTATATTATAGGATATTATATTATATTATATTATATTGTTTTATTTTTGTAGGATATTATATTGTATTATATGTGTTTTTTTTTGTAAGGTATTATAGTATATTATATTATGTTATATGATATTATACTATATTCTATTATATTAAATTAAATAACATTATATTATATTATAGGATATTACAATATATTAAATAATAGTATATTTTATCATAGGATATTATGTATATATATATATATATTTATTTAATATTATATAATATTATATAATATTGTATAGTATTATTTTTATTAAATGATATTACATTATATTACATTGTTTTATTTTTGTAGGAAGATCTTATTGTATTATATGTTTTTTGTAAGATATTATATTATATTATATTACATTATATTATTTCATTATATTATATCATACTATATTATATTATATTACACTATATTATTTCATTATATTATATTCTATTATATCATACTATATTATATTATATTACACTATATTATTTCATTATATTATATTCTATTATATCATATTATATTATATTAGTTTTTTTTTTAAATTATACTATATTATATTGTTTTATTTTTATGAGGATCTAAAATTTTTGGTTATTTGCATTGCAGTTCCAACCCCTTTTGCGGTTGGCAAGCCCGGTGCAGGGCTTGCAGAGCTTGCCGCTGGGCAGTGTCGGAAGGCGTCGACCGACCCAAGGGCGTTCCTTTTGGCGTGAGAGCGTTCCCAGCTGTTCGCTGGAATCATATGGAGGTTTCCTAAAATGGAGGTACCCCAAAATGGATGGTTTATATATAATGGAATATCCTATAAAAATGGATGATTTGGGGGTACCCCTATTTTAGGAAACCACCATATATATATATGTGTATATATATATGTATATATATATATGTATTTATATATATATATATACATACATATATATATATGTATATATATATATATGTATATGTATACATATCTATATGTATATATGTATATATATGTATATAAATACCATTAGAGTTCTGGTTCTGACATGCTATTCTCTGGGAATTTCAAAAGTGAGATCATCGGTTTCCTTCGGGTTGTCGAGTGACACTTCGGATCAAAAAAACGCGAGAGTTGTCGAGTGTTTGCTGCAATGGCTATAAGTATGTCATCACGTTGTATTCATCACGAAATGTCAAATAACATGCAGATTGTTTTTTTTAATGAGTTCAATATTATATATATAATATTATATACTCCCCAATTTTGGTCAAGTTCTTGAATTCATGGCCCGAGCTCGAGCAACTTGGTCTTCGCCCTACCTGGACTAGCAATTCGGGCACCAGAACGCAGCGACCAAAACCTCCAAGGATTTGATATACCCGGCCTGGTAATTTGTTACATAGCCATGGCATAGATGGCCCATAGAAATAGATGGTTTACCTATTAATAGCATGGCGATTTTCCATGGCGAACTGTTAAATAACCAGATGGTAAACGTTCAACGAACCCTTACTTTCGCGAAAGTAGAAACCTCACGCGAGCTTTAGCTCGTTCCGCGAAAGCTAGCATGATGGACTCAGCATCCGCGAAAGCTAAACGTGTGGTCGCGTAAGTACTGCGAAAGCTCTGCGAAAGCCACATTGGATTATAACACATTCGCAAAAGGGTTTTCAACACCGCTCAAGTGTCAAGAGTTGAATATAGCCATTTTGGGGGATCGCCATTCATTGAAGGGATGTAAAAAATAATACCCATAGGGATGTTTTCCCATAGGGTGTGGATTGCCCCTCCTCGCAAGGCTCGAAAATACTGAGAAAAAGAGGCAAGATCCGCGCTGACACCTGCACCCCTGAAGCTAACATGATGGCTGGAGATGAGATGATCTCAGAATATCTCAGATGATACTGGTTGGTGGTTTGGAACATGTTTTTTTCCCCATATATTGGGAATGTCATCATCCCAACTGACGAACTCATATTTTTCAGAGGGATTGAAACTGCAGATTCCCTTAACATGTAGTAACCAGCACCACGGGTTGACATGGCCCCTGCTGCAAGGATGACACGCACAAGGACCTTTGTGCATAGCCGTTTTGCCTCAAAAAAGGCAGCGCTGAGCTGCGTGAGAGGTGGGAGCCCAGGCCGTGGGTTTGAGGAGAACCCCCAAAGCGGTTTTGGGATTGAGACCTGGCACTGAGCCGGGAGGAACCAATACCCCCAGTAGCCTGTGTAAGGTTGGTGGGCGAATAGGTTACGAGCCCAAACCTGACGCAATGGATGTACGGAGGAGGAGGTCGGAGCCCCAACCTGCTGAGGGTGCTGAAGGGCCCGATCATGGATCCCAAGAGGGAGCCGATTCCAAAGCCCGCGAAGGTGATGGAAGAAGATTGATGGCGATTGAAGACGCCGCTGATGCTGCCCGAAAAGGTGAAGCCAAGGAGGACGCCCAGACGGGAGCAAGATTGAAAGATTTCCCAAAGGGTGAAGCCAAGGAGGACGCCCAGCTGGGAGTAAGAACTGCTGCCCGAACAGGTGAAGCCAAGGAGGACGCCCAGACGGGAGCAAGACCAAAAGATTTCCCGGGTGAAGCCACAGAGGACGCCCAAAAGGGAGTTGATGAAGGAGCCTCGAGGACGACAGAAGCCCCGAGGACTGGCGGGAGTGTGGTGCCAAATGGAGGAGAGGGTGTTGGGGGTGGGGAGACGCCAGGGAGGTCGTTTTTCACACCAACGGCAAGGGGAGGGAAGGTCACAGAGACCCCCAAAGAAGTAGCAGTCATGGGACCAAGGGGGAAGCCTCAGTCCTTTGGGCCGCTGTTCACCCCTGAGCAAGCAGCCAAGATGGATGCGCTGCGAGCCCAAGCCCCACTTCTGGACACAGCACGAGCCAGAAGAGAATGTGAAGAGGCTGCAAGGCCGAAGTTCCTGGAGGACGCACAGAGCATCCCCAGGGTTGAGAAGTTCCTGGAGGAATCACAGAGCATCCCCAGGGTTGAGGAGATGAAGTCCTACGAGCGAGAACTCGATAGGATGCATGGCTTCATGGATGATGTGAAGCTTCGAATGGCAGAGCAGCAGGAAGAGAAGACCTTGCTGCAGAAGATGTTGTTTGAGACCGCTGAGAACGAAGCTCACTGGCGCTCAGAGAATGCCGAGCTTCGCAGGGTGGTTGAAGAGTTGAGGAGGCTGAGACCCCCAGAAGACGAAAGGAGGCTGAGACCCCCAACTGAGGGAAGAAGGCCGACGCCCCCACCAGGAGTTGATGTTGAGGACAGGTGGATGAAGACACCGTGTCCGCCCCATGAGATCGCCATCCACACGCCGCCTTCACCCCCGGAAGATCCCTTCGCCACGCCAGAGGAGCCCAGAAGTGAGGAGGTCAAGACCGGAGGCAGAGATGGAGGAGCGGGTGGTGGAATTAAGGATGAGGAGAGAGAGATGTCCATGAAGGCACTCTTGGCAATGATGAGGAACATGCAGGAGATTCAGAAGAAGATGCTCGAGAGAGAGCTGAAGGATAAGGATGAGGAGAAGGGATTGGCAGGAGGTGTGGAATGGGTGCGAGGACAGCCAGAACTGCCTCGTCTCCCACCATGGCATCATGTCAATGCCCCCATTGACCTGAATGACTGGCTGTCGTTGGTGGACCCCGTGATGTCAGACCTCACCGCGACGAGCCTGAAGTGGTGGCAGCTGCTGGTCCAAGAAGCCCAGGCATGGTATGCCACCCACCAACAGATGTCCCCGATGGAAAGGATCCATCATGAAGCCCTTCCCAGCAAAGAGCTGGAAGACCCAAGATGGACGCGGCTTGAGCGCCGTGCAAGTATGATGATGCTGCAGGCGGTGCCAGAGGCACAACGTGAGGAGATGGTGAGCGCCAAACGCCTGACAGTGATGAAGGTGTTGTGTCACCTGCTGGTGACATATCAGCCAGGAGGATTGGCTGAGAAGGAAGTCATCCTCTCCAATCTGGAGAACCCGCCTGAAGCACAGACGGTGCCAGACGCACTGCAAGGGCTCCGGAAGTGGATGAGATGGAGAAGAAGAGCAGGTGAGTTGGCTGTGTCCGAGCCGGACCCGTTCATCTTGCTAAAGGGGCTTGGCAAGGTGGTCAAGAAGAGCCTCGAGATGAACAAGGAGCTGAGCTTCAGAGTGAGCCTGGCAAGGAACAACCTTCAGGTTGACAGCAACCCCACATCCAAGTCGGTTGGTGCATTTGCAACGCACCTGATGGCCGAGTTAGAGCAGATAGCACACCTTGACCCCCACACCGGCATGCCCAAGAAGGCAACCCCCCCGAGAGAGCAGAACCCCCTGAAGCAGGAGCCCAGGCTGAAGAAGCTCGAAGGGAAGGAGGCTGGTGGAGGATACAAAGGAGATGGGAAAGGCAAGGATGCCAGACCCGGAGACGTTTGCCGTTTCTTCCTGACGGAGCACGGCTGTAAGAAGGGCAAAGATTGCCAATGGCAGCACCAGGTTGATGACCAGAAGAGGTGCTGGAACTGCGGTGGAAAAGACCACTTCGCAGATAAGTGCCCAAGACCTTCGTTCAGAAATCCCGAAGGGCAGAAGGAGTCCAAGGGTGAAGGAAAGGGTGCACGAAGCTTGAAGAAGAAAGATGAAGATTCCCCAGATGGGAAGAAAGAGAAAGAAGAAGAGAAGCCAAAGAGAGAAGATCAAGATGCCGAGAGTGGCAAAGGACAGGTGATCAAGGAGTTGATGGAAGAAGCCAACAGGATGCTCAGAAAGATCACCAAAGAAGCAGACAGCAACAAGGAGACGAAGATTGACCAGCTCCAGAAGCAGCTGGATGAGCTGAAGTCCGTCAAGGTCCTCAGACTGGCAAGGCTTCAAGAAGGAGGTGCCAGAGGCCTTTTGGACTCAGGCGCAACTCACCCATTGAGGGGGAGGCGCGAAGGAGAGAAGATGAAGGGCTACAAGGAGGTGACAGTCTCCCTAGCCGGAGGAAAGGAGGCCACACTCCATGTGACCAAGGAAGGCATCATGGTGGCCAAGAACCCAGGCACAGAGCCGATCGTGCCAATGGGGATGGTGGTAGATCTTCTGGGATGTAGGGTTTCCTGGGATGAAGATGAAGTCCGTGTGACACATCCCAAGAAGGGGAAACTGGAGGTGGTTCTTCGTGGAGGATGCCCTGAAGTTTCAAGAGACGACGCCCTGATGCTCATCGAGGAGATCGAGGAGAAGGTCCGGTCCATCAGGCCGAAGACACCACATGAGCAGGAGGAGCAACAAGCAAAGCATGAGGAGATGGAATGGTTACAAAGGATCCTGAAGGAGCACCCAGCCTTCAGGAAAATCCCAGAAGATCTGAGGAAGAAGATCCTCGAACCACCAACAGATGATGTTGCCATGTGTGGCAATCGAAGACAGAGGAAGAAGTGGGCTAAAGAAGGCCTCATTCTGCATCTTTATGCAGGTGAAGACGAAGGGTACACGTTCAGACGTGCCTTTCATGAAGTGGGGGGAGACAAGAGTTTGGTCCTCGAGGTGGACTGTCTCCGAGACCCCAAGTGGGACATGCTGCCTCAAGGCAAAGCATTCCCGGCGCTGTTGCGCTTGGCACTCAAAGGTTGGCTGAAGATGGTCATGGGTGGACCCAACTGCCGTACAAGGAGCGTCTTGCGGCACAGGCCTCTCGGTGAAAAGGAGTGGGGACCAAGACCCCTGAGGAGTTGGCATGAAGACCAGGAATGGGGGAGGAAAGATCTCACCGAAAAGGAGAGGCAGAGGGTCGAAGAAGATGACATCCTGATGCTCAGGATGATCATGCTGTTTATCGTGGCGGAAGAAGTCCGGAAGGTGAACGGTGTGAAGACACCCACTCAGTTCGCCATCGAACAGCCAGCGGTGCCAAAAGAAGAGGAGGTGGTAAGTTGGTGGAAGACTGGGATCTGGAAGATGATGGTGAAGATTTATGGCTTCAAGGAGTCCACCTTCGACCAATGGAATTGAGGAGGCAAGGCTCACAAGCCGACGACGGTTGGAGGAACCATTGAAGTGGAAGCTCCACCAAGGATCCCAGGAGGAAAGAAGAGGGAGGTTGAAGGAAAGACCCCAGAAGAGCTGCTGAAGGAATCAAGGCAGTTGGCCCGATGGGCGCCTGGCATGATGAGAGCCCTGGCAGAGCAGGTGGTGGAAAAGGTCTGCGGCAGAAAGCCCAAGATGAGACCACTCAGCTGGGACGAGCACGTCCGCGCAAACCACACACCCTTCAGAAGGGATTGCCGCATTTGCCAAGAAGCCATGGCAAAAGCATCACCACACCGCAAAGCAGGACATGCCAGAGCAGGGGTGCTCTCTCTAGACCTGTCTGGACCCTTCAAGAGGGCCAAAGACATTCTCAAAGGAACTCACGCCAAGTTCCTGCTGGTCGGGGTCTACACGTGGATTGATCCACGACCCGGTGGCCACCCTGCCCCGGATGAAGAGGAGGTGGAAGTGCCAGACGAAGCACCAGACCTTGAAGAAGGGGATGGGGAGGTGGATCCAGAGAAGAGACCCAGAGGACGGCCAAGAAAGGATGACCTGGCGATGAGAAAAGAAGAAGAAGAAAGAAAGAAGTGGAAAGAAGAAGGAGATGCCGAGAGAGCGGCAGAAGAGGCCCAGAGGCCACAGAGAGGAGAGCCCATAGAGGGTGGAATCTTCAATGACACAGATGAAGAAGACGCTGGCAGGGTGAGAGAGCCCGAAGCAGCACAAGAAGACGCTGGCAGGGTGAGAGAGCCCGAAGCAGCACAAGCAGATGCAGGCAGGGCGAGAGAGCCCGAAGCAGCACAAGAAGACACACACAAGCAGCCAAAGCCAACAGATGGCGAAGAAGAAGAAGAAGACGATGGCGGGGTGAAGATCCGATATTGCCGGATGGTCCTACCCATAGCGACGAAGCTCGCTGAGGACATTGTAAGAGCAGTGCAGCTCTTCTACCTCCGCTTGAGGTCTGAAGGTTTTGTGGTGAATCAGATTCACACCGACAGAGGTGGTGAGTTTGACAACGTGAAGTTCCAGAAGTGGTGGGAAGCCAGAGCGATCTTGAAGACATGGACGCCTGGAGATGACCCCCAATGTAATGGCCGATGCGAAAGGGCCGTCCAAGAAGTCAAAGCCAAGATCAGGGTCATGCTCCTACAAGCAGGCCTTGGGGTTGACCATTGGCCGCTGGCCGCAAGACACCTGAACGAAGCATTACAAGTGGCCCGCCAAGACAAGAAGATCACTTGGCCGCCATTCTTTGCCAAGGTGCTGGTGAGGAAGCGCCACTGGCGATCACAAGAACTGGAGCCATCACAAGAGATGGTAACATACCTTTTCCCAGCATGGGAGTCACACGGGCACTACATCCGTGATGACCAAGGATGGGACCGGCTGTCAAGGACGGTGATGAAGAACGTCCAGGAGCCCATCACCGATGAGAAGTGGATTGCATTGGAGAATGAGACCAATCCAGTCCAGGTGAGAAGAAGGCTAAGAAGCAAGATGACAGTCCGGCAGCTGAAGGCTCCCAAAGAAGAGGAAGAGGAGGAGGAAAGACGCGTGAAGATGAGGAGGATCCAAGAAGTGATCCGAGATGAGATGGGCAGAGTCATGGAAGATGACGAAGCCAATGTCCACATCACCATGAAGGAGCTCTGGAAGTTGAGGAAGTTTTCAGAGGAGGAAGCTCCAGATGAAGTGCTCCAAACGAAGGTGGTGGGGATGCAAGAAGTCAGAAGGGACTTCCCCAAATGGAAGGAAGCGGTGGAGAATGAGATCAGGTCTCTGTTTGAGACGAAGGGTGCTCTCAGGAAGGTTTCGCCAGAGGAGATGGAGGAGAGGAAGAAGAAGGGCGAGTTGGACATCATTCCGTCCAAGCTCGTATGCACCTTGAAGCCTGATCCCACCAATCCAAAGGGGAAAAGAAAAGTCCGAATTGTTGCCTGCGGCAACTTTGTGACGGCTGAAGGAGCTGACAAGAATGAGCTCTTTGCGTCAGGCTCAGACGCCATAGCCGTGCGGCTGGCTGTAGATGAAGCAGCCAAAAGAGGATGGTCCGGGAAGTCAATGGACATCCGAACGGCGGTCCTGAATGCGCCGATGGAGCTTGATGAGGAGGCAGAAGAAAGGAAGCTGAAGGAGAAGGAAGAAGGAAAAGGGCCAGAGGAAGGAAGGACAGAGGAGCTCCGAGCACACAGAGTGCTGGTGAAGCCGCCGATGTTTCTCATCCAGATATCGGACTCGCCAAGCCTGATGAACTGTGGGAGGCAGTGAGAGCCTTCTATGGCTTCAGGGAGTCACCAAGAAGATGGAGTGACTTCCGGGACTTCACCATGAGGAGGTTGAAGATCCAGACCGAAAGAGGGGTCAAGCTCAGGTTAGAGCCCCTGGTCTCAGAGCCCAACATCTGGAAGGTGAAGGATGAAGACACCAGTGAGATGAAGGCCCTCCTGGTCGTCTACGTTGATGATCTGTTGATCCTGGGGGAGACAGAAGCCCTGGAAGCAGTGATCGGCACGATCAGAAGCCTGTGGGAGACAAGCCCACCAGAAGAGATTGATGATGAAGCCGGGGTGAGATTCCTCGGGATGGAGCTATGGAAGCTCAAGAATGGAGACTGGATGGCCACCCAGAGAGTGTACACATATGACTTGCTTCAGAGGAACCTGGGGAAGGATGAAGCAGGATGGCCAAAGAAGAAGGTGCCAGTGGGCCGAGAGTGGTTCACAGGGCCGGAGGAGGAAGAGAAGAAGATTGAAGACGTCCGTGAAGGACAGAGGATTGTCGGGGAGCTGATGTGGCTGGTGACGAGAAGCCGGATGGATTTGATGTATCCAGTCTCACTGCTGGCATCAAACATCCTGAAGCGACCAAGAGAGGTCAAGCAGGTAGCAGCTCAAGTTTGGGGCTACCTCGCAGCCACAATCGATGATGGCCTGCTCTTCACAGCCAAAGATGAAGAAGAAGGGCTCCAAAGCTTCACCGACGCCTCCTTCGGAGAAGACTGCCAAGGGTGCTCCATCGTGAAGGTTGGAGGATCACCCATTGCTTGGAAGTCAAGCAGACAGGGAGCGATTGCCCTGTCTACCGCTGAGGCGGAACTGGGGGAGATAGTGGAAGGATTGGTGCTGGGAGACTCAATTCGAGTCGTGGTGGAGGAGATCAAAGAAGATGAGGAGAAGATGCTCCGCTGCACAGCACTCACAGACAATCAGGCAGCGACCAGCATCCTGTCTGACCCCCATGGCAGTTGGAGGGCGAGATACCTCCGAATGAAGGCCAAGAATGTGAGATGGAGGATTGAGAAGGCAGACTGGATGGTGATCCACGTCCCAGGGGCACAGATGCCTTCTGACATGGGGACGAAAGCCCTCTCAGCCCAGAGGTTTGAACTCCTGAAGAAGCTGGCAGGCATGGCAGGACTGCCAAAGAAGGAGAAAGCTGAAGCCAAAGCTGAAGCCCAAGCCAAAGCTGAAGCTAAAGCCCAAGCCAAAGCTGAAGCCAAAGCTGAAGCCAAAGCTGAGGAGACAGAGGAGAAGACACAAGGGGCGAAGACGATGAAGGTCAAGGCCCAGACAGAGGAGAAGCTCAAAGAAGGAGCGAAGATCCTGCAGATGATCATGCTGATCTCTCAGCTGACGCAGACAGAAGCACAGCCAGGAGATGAAGAAAGAAGGCCATATGGTCCTGACTGGATCTTCCTGGTGCTGCTGGCATTTGCAGCACTAGGCCTGGTGGCGTGCATTCGCTGCACGGTGTTCTTCGTGCAGTGGCTGATGGTGAGGATCCGCCTAGCAGAGGCGAAAGACCGCATCCGAGCACGGCATGCGAGGGATGTGGAGAGACAGCAGCAGAAGGATGAAGAAGAAGAAAGAGAGGAGGAAGAAGCGCTGTGGCGAAGAGTGGCAGAAGCCAGGAGTAGCCACGCCGCTGAAGCGAAAGCCCAGCCAAAGAGGCGAGCAGCCAAGGCGAAGATGAAGCCGAAGGCGAAAGCGAGGGCAGCAGAAGAAGAAGAAGAGGAAGAAGCCCGAAGAGATCGGGAAGAGCTGCGACAGAGGCTCGAAGAAGAAGAAGAGGCAGAAGGAAGACTGGCAGCAGCCATGGCCAGGCTACCCTGCCACACACCCACAAGCAGGCCATCAACAGGCCAAGCAGCATCCTCAACACAGAGGATTCCACACACCCCAAAGGCGACAGCACCAAGGGTCCCACAGACACCAAGGACGGCACCTTCAACATCATGGCCGACCACATCGCCCCTGCGGAGGTCTATGGCATGTGACCTGGGGTTTAGCCGTGGAGCAGCCAGCTCCGCTACCAGCAGCATGCCGCTGTTGGGTGGTGGGATGATGATGGAGGTCGAGCTCGACCCCAACGAAGAGCCGGCCAACGTGGTGGGAAAGGGTGACCTGATGGCCGCCAAAGGAAAAGGGAAAGGAAGCCGAGATGATGGTGGAGGTGGAAAAGGAAAGAAGGGCGGCGATGAGGGGTTTAGGCCGATCATCACGCCGTGGGGCACAAGGTTCCACACCCATAGGTTCTGCCCGACGCTGGCGAACTCTCGGAATCTCACGATGTCTCCATGGTGCGTTGCCTGTGCACCGGACGGAGTGGGACTGAGAGAACCAGTGTTTTGTATAGGGCCTGGTAGGACCGCTCATGCCGATGGTGATTGCCATCCCAATGCCAGACAGTACCAGATTTGCAACATGTGTTTGGAAATTGAGGAATCATGAAGATTCCAAGAAAACGGCTTGAGCTGGGCAGTGTTTTGTAGGGGTGCTCCGCTACCAGAAGCGAGCATCCGCCAATTCTCAAAGGGGTGGTTGCCAGCCTATCGGCAGTCACCCAGGGGGAGTGCAGATTCCCTTAACATGTAGTAACCAGCACCACGGGTTGACATGGCCCCTGCTGCAAGGATGACACGCACAAGGACCTTTGTGCATAGCCGTTTTGCCTCAAAAAAGGCAGCGCTGAGCTGCGTGAGAGGTGGGAGCCCAGGCCGTGGGTTTGAGGAGAACCCCCAAAGCGGTTTTGGGATTGAGACCTGGCACTGAGCCGGGAGGAACCAATACCCCCAGTAGCCTGTGTAAGGTTGGTGGGCGAATAGAAACCACCAACCAGGATAATATGAACATGACATATCAGATCAGTGACAGCCGGGAGATATCAGGGCTTTATCTTATAAAAAATGCTCCGCAAAGCGATCGCCTCGGTATGTCCCAAGAAATTGCTCGGCAGGAACCGGGCCTTTAAGGAGATTACCTTGAAGTCTGACAAGACTGCCCGAGTACAAAGGCCGCTGAGATCCTGATAAATCTGCACTGATGAGATCATATTTTCTGCAGGAAAAGCTACAGATAGGTAATTATAATATAATGACGTACATATACATATATCTATATATGTTTATAACTATAGTGGAACCATGTTACTGTCGATGAAATTCCATTGATTCAATCATTTAACCAAAAAGTATGTTTCCACCTTGAGTAGTACCATATTGGACGCACCATTCCAGGCTAAACCATCGGCGAAAGCAGATGTACAAGGTCGCCCGACGTTGGAAAATGGTTTGACATGGTTTGACCAGATGGAAGTGCAGAAATCATTCAAAATCACCAGAAGTGTATCTCAGGAAACCATCGATTTTCCCATTAAATATGGGCTTTTCCTGTAAAATGTCCCTTAAACCAATCCATTGAGTATCCCATTTTTGAGGTGTTTTGGATGTGGAAGATTCTCCAGCGAGTCAGAAGTGCAAAGTTCAGAGAAGATGAGATGTCCTTCTCCCATAGGGTTGATGAATAGAGGGTTTTTTTCACAGACCCCTTTAACAACAGGTTTCTATGATGATACCCTCTGGTAAACATACAAAAAACTATGCAAAATCACCATTTTCAATGGATAAATCAACTATAAATGACAATTTTTAAATATTTTCAATGGGTAAATCAACCATAGCTATGTAACAAATTACCAGGCCGGGTAGATGGTATAGCAACCCGGCCCCTCGATTGGCAGGGCCAGGATGACGAGGATTTACTGCAGGGTTTTGGGAGGGCCAGGGTCAGGACGATGTGACCTTGGATTTTCATGGCCTTTCCAGATCACCAATAGCTGGATGTTTGGATGTTTTTTTTTTCGTACCCCCATGAATTGGAAACCTCCATCAATAGGATTAGAACCTATATAAATATATATACATACCCTCTGGTAAACTAACATAGCTATTGAAAATGGCAATTTATAGTGGATTTTGCCATTAGAAATGGTGATTTTCCAGAGCTATGTTAAATTACCAGAGGGTATACATATACATATTTATGTATATTTGGATGATTTTTTCAACATCGGATCGCCTTTTTGCCCAGCTGGCTTAGCTCAAGTTGTGTGACACCTTGGGCCGCAAGCCAACAAGGCTGGCGGCTGACATCAGACTGGTGTTCTTTTTGGGAAGTTGTCCTGGATCAACATTTGGAGGTTTCCTGGTTTCCTAAGTCATGGGGGTACCCCTAGTTATCATCTATTTATAGAATTTTATAATTTTATAAATAGATTGGGGATCCTCCATTTGCGGACAACACCATTTGGATGAAAGAAATCGGCATCTTTCATGAGCCATGACTCAATGACTGAATTTTCCGCCGCGTTCTTTTTGCGTTCACCCCAGGGCAATGGCGGCGCGGGGCTTGGCCGTGAGGTGGTTGCGACCATTACGCGCCAGCAAGGCAGTATGAAAAAAACAGTTGGATGAAGAGTAGTTTGAACTCAATGATTTCAACACATGAATCTCTCTGAGCCTCACTGATTTGATACTGAACTTGACTCAACGCAGTCGTGAATCAGGAATCACATGGAATCATAAGTTTCATCCTGCATGGGCAGGTTCCGCATGCCTTGCCAGCTTCCGTGGTAGCAGCAGGTGCTTGAACGGTTCGTTCAGACATCGTTCAGACCGTGGAAGGTTCGTTCGAGGTCGATCAGAGCCGAGCCTGAGCTGAAAGACTCTGAAAGTCGACCGACCAAAGGTTTGGTCACTACATAACTCTTTCAGATTTTCCTTTACCGAAAACAACATAGCACAACTATGGGACAACTATGGGACAACTATGGAATAGCAGAGGCATGCTGATTTTCGATGATTTTTTGCCCTTTGATCAGGCCTGGCCTGCTGTGCAATGTCAATGCCTGGCCACAAGCGACATGTCACAGGTTCGCTCCAGTGGTCAGGGATGCTGGTGGAGGTATCAAATCTTGCCGTGACAAAGCCCAAACCAACCCTACACCTTAAAGCAACCCTTACTAAGTGCTACACCATGTCTAAATAAACCCAAACCCCATCCTAAATAGATCCCAAACCGACCCCAAATAAACCCCGAACCAGCCCTAAATATATAATATATAAATTTTGAACGCACCCTTAAAAAACATAAACCAACTCCAAATAAATAAGTCCTAAACCAAACCTAAATAGTCCCTAAACCAAACCAACCCTACATAAACGCTAAACGATTCCAAAATAAAGACCACTTCAGATTAAATCATATTAAATCAACCTTGACTAATCCCTAAACCAACCCTGAATAAATCCTAAACAAAACCGAAATAGACTTTTAACCAACCCCAACTAAACCCTAAACAACCCCCAAAAAATCAAAGCAATCCAAGAAGAGATCTGCAAATTACAGATTTTAGCTCCAAAATATTCCAAAATGCTGCAAATGCCGTGTTTTCATAAGAGAGTGTAGCTTGATTATGCTTCAAATGGTACGGTGCAAAGAGTCCAGTTCAAAAATGCCGCAAGGCTGTTGCGGCTGTTACTTAGCAGCACAAATCGCATATAGATTGGCTCCATTTTAGCAGCAGAGAGGAAAGGAACACCGCCCCAGAACTGAGAAACAACAACCCATTCCCCAAAGAAACAACAATCAATCTCGGAAAGAAACTGTACGCTTTTGAATCTTTGTGTGGAAGCCCTTACTAACTAACAAGATGCCGAGTCGGGTCCACGTGTCCACGTCCAGGGCGCACTGTCCAGCTTCCTTTATAGTTTATACCGCATTTACTGGTTTGTGGCAGGTCAACAAAATAAGGGAAGTACAAGCAAGTACGACCCCTGAGTGCTTCGTGCTTCAATTTTATTGACTTCTTAATTATTACGACTCCAGCCAGGAATGGCAGCCAGCCAAGATGAGCTGAAGAAACAGGCGACTTTGGGACAGTGAAATCTATAGCTACTTGGAATGCTTTGGTCAGCTGGATGACGAGTCTGCACTGAGCCAGTTTTTTCAAACATATTCAAAAAAAATGATTAGGACCAGGCAAATTCTCGGTGCAAGTGTCTTGGACAGACTTGGATTCTGTCTGTCCATGTGAGACTGGGGCAATAGGGGTTGCTTGTCAGACCAAAGGTACGGCTTTTCGAAGTTGAGGAGTATTGTGGCTGGGCCGGGGTTAAGAATACGGGCCTACTTGGCCCAACCTAAGCTGGCTGGGGTCAAACTTGGTCGTCCTTGGCCTTAAGTTGGGCGGAACGCAAGCCGACTTGGGCCCAACTTGGGCCTATCGGCCTATCTTTCGACGAACTTGAGCCACTTGGCTCCAACTTGGAGGCAACTTTGGCCCAGCTCGAGTCCAGCATGGACTGCCCTGTTGAAAAGAGCAAAGGAGAAAGGAGTAGCTGTGGATGCTATCGGGCAACAGAGCGAACCCACTGATGGATCGAAAGGTGGTTGAAGTTGAGGCTCTGAGTCTTTCTATTTATCTACCTACCTACGTATCTATCTAGCTATCTATCTATCTATCTATCTATCTAATCTAACCTAATCTAACCTAATCTAACCTAATCTAATCTAATATATTCTAATCTAATCTAATCTAATCTATCTATATCTAGCTATCTATCTATATCTATCTGTATCTATCTATATCTATCTATATCTATCTATATCTATCTATATCTATCTATATCTAGCTATCTAGCTATCTAGCTATCTAGCTATCTAGCTATCTAGCTATCTAGCCATCTAGCTACCCAGCTACCTAGCTACCTAGCTACCTATCTGCTCTGCTCTGCTCTGCTCTATTCTACTCTACCCTACCCTACCCTACCCCAACCTAACCTAACCTAACCATATATATATATATATCTACCAATGTATCCATTAGTTCATTCTTCTTTCTATCTGTCTATATCACTGACAAACAGGATTTCTGCGAGATTTCCATGACAAGTGGAAGTTGACAGGTCGAAAACGAAGCAGTTCTGTGATACTTCTTCACAAAATGCAAATTCACCAGTGCAAAGGCAGATTCCGCAAGACTTCCTCAAAAACCCGATGGCGACATCAAAACTGGAGCAGTTCTGTCAGATTTCCTCACTGTTTGAAGTTGACAACATCAAAACAAATCAATTCTGCGAGACTTCCCTCAAAAAATAAAAGTTGACTGCAGAGTGACAGCCTCGTACCATTGCATTTTGCGATTTTCCACTTCATCTATCTAAAGTATTGCGCCCGCCACAAAAAAGTGAGGCCAGGTCATGCGAACCCCACGCCTGCCATCTTGCGCCTGCCATGAAAAACGACACTCGAAGGCCCAAAATTGGTCCAAGTGTGGTGTGTTTTTCACATTTTGACTTCGACATCTGCTTCGCGCCACAACTGCGTGCGTTTTTTCAACGTCTCAACTGGCAAAAATGTTCCGACGGGTGTTTTAAGCATTTTGACTTCGGAATGTGTATCGCGCCACAATGGCGTGCACGTGTTTTGCACAGCTCTACTCTACTTCCAAAAGTGCTCTGAACCGGAGGTGCTTTTAACATTTTGACTTCCAAATTTGCTTCGCGCCACACCGGCGTGCACTCCACAGCGTCCAAAAGTGCCCCGAACCCGAAGTGTTTTTACGACTTTTTCTTTCAAATCTGCTTCGCGCCACAATGGTGCGCAATTTTTGACCTTTCATCCGACCAGGTGGCTCCGCACCCGTCGCTTTAGCGAGCCTACTTGTCGACCGCGGAGCCACAAAACAATGGAAAAATACATTTTTTCGCGACTTTCCCACCTTTTCGCGCGCCTGGATCTTCTTTTTTCTGAGACTTTCTCTTTTTTGATCTTCTTTGTTCTTCTCTTCTCCTCTCTCACTCTTCCCATCTCTGCTGCTTCATCTGTCCATTTTGTCGGAAGTTTGACTTCTAAATTTCCTTCGATAAGACCCAGTTTTTCCATCATGCGGCCCCCTCCCCCCAGCTGAAGCTGTACCATGACACCGCTGGTTCACTCGGATCGCTCGACTCCTAAACTACCACGCCCCTGCACCTTCGATGTGGGCGGATTTTCAACCCATCCGGATTTTCAGCCCATCAATTTGGATATGCTGGTTGAGAAGCAAGAACTGAAGCAAACTCCTGAACTCCCACGAAGGTGTTGGACAGGCGGAGTCTCTTTTTCCATGGCTCTCATTAGAAACAATTTGGTCCCTCCAGGTTGGCTACAAAGCGGTGGACGACTATGTGAAGAGTGGCCGCGTGGCAAAACTCCCGTGGTCGTTGGTTCCTTCCTTGGCTGGCTGGCTGGCTGGCTGGTTGGTTGGTTGGTTGGTTGGTTCAGAGCCACCAGGTGTACCCCAACGCCAGCTCCCATAGTTTTCCCTTTTCACGGTATGCAGACCAAAAGGACATATCATTTTTGCAAACAAAAACAGCTGACGAACGCTAACAAGTCGGTCAAGGCATGGTCATTGGCTTGGGGACCGGCTCCACGGCGTGCGCGGCTTAGATTCGTTTCCACCGGCCATAGAAATATTTTTGTGCATCAACATGTTTCTTGCCACCAGGGAATTTAAGGTGAGAGCTGCACTCCGTCTTACTTGTGCAAAATTTATCACGATTCTGCAGCATACCTTGTCCATGGTGCACTTTCCAGACCTGTGCTACAGACCTGAAGAACAAACATGCCACAGATTGGCAGACTTAAGGAGGGGTATAGTATCTCTTCAAAACTGCCATGGCATGGTTCTGTGACCAATTGGGGTCAGGTACTTCGCCGTGGAGCGCGTTGGTCAAAAGTGTGGTAGCCCAGCCTGATGAGTCAAGGGACCAGCCATGAAGGTGCCGCACAGCGTTTGATCAATCGAACACAAAGCACAGCTTTCCACAAAACTTCCGCTGGTGAGAGGTGCATTCTGATAGTTTTAAGACATTAATATGAAACCGATACACTGTAAATTAATAGTATGGTGAATGAATGTCAATGATTTTGCAGCCGATACACCTTTACATATTTTTACATCATTTTACATCTATGAATGCGGGACTTACCATTGCCACTTTTACAGCAGAATATTTAATTTTATTAATTACATATTATACACCCCAACGATCCCCAAGGTATTTTGCCCAATATGTCGAAGTGCTGGATTTCGCTCAGGTTACGATCGGGTGAGTTGAAGGATGTCGTGGCTGTTGGGGCGCCCGAACTTTCTGGTTTTGGCCATGTCATGCCATGTCGCAGCAAGAGTCTACCCGAGAAATCGATCAAGAGTTTGTGAGTGAAGCTAGTGGCTTCCTGCATCCGAAGCAAATTCCTGCATTTCAATAGCATGAACCAGAGCGAAGCTTAAATTCCTGTTGCAGTACGCAGTTTGTCAGAAAAGCAACAGACATACGTTGCGTTTCATGGCACTCTTACTGGTTTGTGGTTCAAACATTTTTTTCCATAATACATGGGATAATCCTTCCCATTGACTAATATTTTTCAAGAGGGTTAAAACCACCAACCAGTTTAGGTTGAGAACATGTCAAACCAAAGTCAGACTGTTTTTCTGTGACTGGTTTCCTGGAGGTTCCGGTGGGTTTTTGTGTGTCTGCAGTTCGGATAGCCTCTGGTAATGACTAACATAGCTATTGAAAATACCCCATTGATAGTGGATCTACCCATTGAAAATGGTGATTTTCCATAGCTATGTTAAATTGCCAGAGGGTCACACAAAACTGAACACCCACCACATATTCCACAACGGTTCAGGCTCGCTTTGTGCAATTCGAATCTCTAGAACCAAACTCAAGGCATCTGTCATTGTGATACAGTGAGATCCGCTAACCCTGAAAAATGCCCCTGCACTAACTTCAACCATTGTTCTTGTAACCTCTAGTTGTATAAAGGACAAATGGGAAGCTCTAGGTTCATATCTTAGAGGCATCATGGTTAGAATAACAATGTAATCCCTTCCCCCTAATGTTAAACACTTCCTTAGAAACCATGGTAAAAAGTAGGGATTTTCCACATTTCATAGGGACCATTTGGGACCATGGGCCATGGGCGTGTTACGCAACGGCTCGTGACAGATCTCTGAGGTGCCAACCTCCAAGCGAACCCAGGAGCAAGCGGAGAAGCTTGGGATCAAGTTGGCGACGTTGGACACGCAACCGAAGCTGGATGTGGCTGGTGCTGAGCTGATTCGGATCGTCGTAAATCGTCATTTTATACATGGTGTTAGACCATGTAGGATGTGGATGGATATGTATGGACTATGGATTATGGATTCATGTTTTTCTGGGCAGAAAGATGCAGAAAGGCCTTAAAAATTGATCCAAGGATTTGGTGGATTCAGATAGATTCAGCTGCTGGTTGGTGGTGACTGGAACCATGGAATTTTATGACTTTCCAGAAACAGTTGGGAATGTCATCATCCCAACTGACTTTCACTCCATCATTTTTCAGAGGGGTAGGGCTCAACCACCAACCAGGCTGATATTTGATTGGATTGGTTTAGTTGGGAAAATTTTAACCGGAAACCATCGAGATTTTCCCATTAAAATCATTAAATATGGAGCTTTCCTGTAGATTTTCCCACCAATCCATTGATTGCCTTAGGCAACCACAAACCGTCTGCGCCGCTATTCCTTGGCACACAAACGGCCGAGGTGGCAATTGATGGCGCAGATTCGGTGGACAAGTCACTGAACCTCGTGTGCCACAGCCATGTTAAGCGGGGCGATCCAGGATCGACGCTGGCAGGTTGACCAACATAGTCATTGAGAACTCATAAAACTAATAGTAATAATAGCAATAATAGTAATAATGATCATGACAGTATACAAACTAATAGGTTGATTATGGTTGATTTGATATGACGATGTTCGACTTTAAGCCGGTTCAAGTTCTGTTTCTGTTACATCGTGTTACAGAATGGCCGCAGTACGAAAGACGGTCGAATTTTTTGAACTATTTCATGCTGAAACTGTCGCTGTGAAGTCTCGAAGTGACGCCAGGAAGGGTGGTGGAGGTGCTCACTTTCGAGAGAAAATCGTTGAGGTGCGATGACAAGTGGAATGTGAGGATGACAAGTTTGTAGTGATTTTTGTCAATCAATGTGGACAAGATGGGCAGCCAACTGACAAGTGCATACAATGGCAATCATTACGAGACATTGCGATTATGCTCAAATATGCTCAAGTCATTCATGTCGGCAATGGGTCATCAGGAGCCTAGTAGCCTGTCGAGCAAACAGTGCGACACCCTCCTCGCGCCTGTAGCACCTGAGGGCTACTCATTTCGAAGTCTTACATCTCCCAAGAAGAGGATTGCTAGCCGGTCTAAAATGCTACCGCACGGAAACGACACCATGATATAATACATATATAAAAATAATTATATGTGTCAGCAGCCGAGTGAATGGAGCCAACAAGTAGAAGAAAAGGGTCAAACGTATTCAAAAGGTCTTTCAGCGCATCTTGTCGAATTTTCCAGACATTGGGGAGATTGGTGCTGATCAAGCCATAGCAGATGGGGTGCTGCTCCGCTATCCCTGCGAGTGCACCAGCTTCAGAGGCCAGCGCCAGTAGCGTCAGGAGCAGCGCGAGCAGCGCTGCTCGCAGCGCCAGCGGACAGCCGATCGAGGTCATCATCGATGGGTCAGCGAAGGTGCTAATTGCATCAGCCTCCTATTGCTATTGCCTGTTGATCTCATCTGCAGCCATTTTCGTGGATGTCCGGGACAAGGAGAGCTTCAGCAAAAGTCACCTTTATGGAGCTTGGTCATTGCACTTTGGCGGTGGAAGAGGAGAATGACGCATTAAAAATTAACGGAGATCAAATTTGTTTTGAATAAAAGTCAAGACATGTTCATCAGAATTATTAATTTTCATGAAAATGGTTCCGCTAGTATTCTTCCAATGGCTTTGTCTGAAAATGAGGCAGCAAATCTGCTGCTCAATCATCATTTCCCTTATTAAAATCATACCAAATATTGGGAAGTATACTGCCGTATACCTAAAGCCAATTTGCACTCTTTATGTTTTTTGCTTTTTGCTCCTTCACTCTTTGTTTTTCCCGTTTTTTCCCCTGTTTTGTTCCATATGTTTGGATTCCCAAAAAGATAAAGCGATCACGTGCAATACGAAAAGGGCGTTTCACGAAGGATCCGCATGGATCCACTGAGGCATTCCCATGTGACCCGCGACGAGGTTGCCTCGAACGCTTTGAAGTCGCTCTGCGATCTACAGCGGGTGGTGGTGGTTTCTGAAGCAAATCCACTCAAGGACGACAAGGTCGGTTGAAAGATGTAGATGTTGAAAGATGTGTTCAACCGGTTCAACCCCCTGGCTGGTTCAGCTGGTTGCTGATTTTGTGGGATTTTGTGGGAGATTATGACCATAAAGAGGGGAATACCACTGTCCATTCAATCAGAATTGGACACAGGGTTTCGAACCTTTGGGCCAGGTCAAACGCTTGTTGGAGCTGCTGAAGAAAACTGCGCGTCCTTCTCGGGTATTTCTAATGGATACTCGGTCTTGGAGATAAAGACGCGCTGTTTCTTTTTGAAACTTGTGGTTGGGGGAGGTCTTAAGTGTGATTTGATCCGGCATTCACAACATCACGGATGTTCGATGCGCACAGATGTTTCCATGTTTCCCACACATTTTGCTGATGTAGAAACCGTTTTTTTTGTTTTTTGCGCAGTGTTTCATTTTTTGAAATGCAGGATCTTTTGCTTGAGAGTACCCATGTGCTCCATGTATGGAATATTTACCGACATTTGCCCTAAAAACCACCCAGTTATGTAGGTAAATATACCATACATGGAGCATATGGGGTATGACTTGTTCACCAGAAAGCGACCATGGTTCCTCCATGGTGACTCCTCCATGGGCGTCCAGGACAACCTTCCGCAGTTTCAGCAGCGCTTTCCATTTTGCATGCGGCAAGGCGAGAGTTTTATTTTTAGATCTCCAGGCTTTGAAAAGGCAACAGTGGCAGTAACCAAGCACCGCCACAATCTTCTTTATGGTTTCTATAGGGTTAATATGTATATATATATATATATGGATATATATATATGGTTTATATATCTGTTTATATATGTACATATACAGGATATGAATTTTGAAAAGGGCTCTCATGCACCACCGAAGTTTGCGTGGGTAGCTCCACCACCTAGTAGGTGGATGGACGTGGCTGGGTCATGTTAGTTCAATATGGGCCTGGGCCAAACCTGACCAGTTTAAGTGCAACCATTTGGACTAAAGCATGCACTGCTCATGCAACCGAACATCGAGCCAAGTAATCGAACGTGTATTGTTCAATGGTTCGCTTATGCTTTCACATATCATATACCAGTAGTACCGCACAAGGCGGTGGCGGAAGTTTCAAAAATAGGAAACCTATAGGAGAGATTGGCTGTTGTGAATCAGGGATGGCAGAGCGAATCCACTGATGGACCGAAAGGAGCTTGAGGTCTCCTCTCTTTCTCTCTCTTTCTCTGACTATCTACTTACCTACCAGCCTATCTTCTATGTATCTATCTATCTATCGATCTATCTATCTCTCTCTTTCTCTCTTTCATCTCATTACCTATCTACCTATCTACCTATCTACCTATCTACCTATCTACCTATCTACCTATCTACCTATGTACCTATCTACCTATGTACCTATCTACCTACCTATCTATCTATCTATCTACCTATCTATCTATCTATCTCTCTCTCTCTCTCTCTTTCATCTGTCTATCTGTCTAGCTGTCTACCTGTCTGTCTATCTATCTGTCTATCTGTCTACCTGTCTATCTGTGGTGCAATGTCATTCAGTGTAATGTAGTGTAGTGTAATGTAGTGTAGTGTAGTGGAGTGTAGTGGAATGTAGTGTAGTGTAG